TTTTGAAAAATCACTTCCGGTCAGAAGTTATCGCCCTTTGATCGATTTTTAGATAGCCCTTATGTCTGCACAAAAACTCATTATTGAAATCTGGCAAAGACCGTAGGAGGGAAAGCGATTTGAAAATTGCTTATGACAATCAGAAAGCTGTAAAAATCCAAAGCCTTATGGATGACCCACATTGTTTGATTGTATAAACTCTTTCAATCAAATTTATTTACATTTGCAAATACTTTTCTTAGATAAACCTATTAAAGAGAAAATATGTTCAATTCTGTATGATCTTATTAGGGGGTCAGAGGTCATGGCATGACCGAATCACACAGCGAGATGATATCGTCTACTTATTTCTGTCACAGTGACACTGGTTTCGGAACTTCTAAGCCATTGAAGCGATGAAAAAGATAAAATTATTGAAACATATATATATTTTTTTCATTCAACAAATGATCATTAGATCTTTCTTTGGTGTGAAGAATGTTTTTAATTAGCCTAAAATCACGCTTACCTTTTTAAACCGAAATTTCTTTGAAGGTATGTAAACTGAAGATGATACCACCGCTTTTGACTTCATATATATTTATAAAACATATAATATAATATATAATATATATTTATATATTATATATAATATTTACTGTAATGAAGGAGAAACTTCAGGAGTACTTTACAACAGTAAAGTATTCGAGAAGTGGTGTAAATCAGATGTGGTTACTTAAAAACTCCAAATAACTTTTGGAAAATTTGAAATCACAAAATTTTACTAAAATCAATAGCATCAAAACGTATGACTTTTCAACACTTTATACAACCATTCCCCACGATAAATTGAAGTCCAGGCTTTTTGACATCATAGACAGCTGCTTTTTCAATAAAAATGGAACTCGTAAACATACTTACCTTGTCATTGGTCATTTACAGAATTATTTTGTTAAAAAGCACTATGTTTGTACACACAAGTACACTGAAGTTGATATTAAAAGGATGCTTGAGTTTCTGATTGACAATATCTATGTAGTTTTTGGAGATCAGGTCTTCCAACAATCTGTTGAAATTCCCATGGGAACCAATTGCGCCCCCTTATTAGCAGACCTATTTTTGTATTTATATGAAGCAGAATTTATTCAGAAACTTCTACATGAGAAGAAGAAAACACTTGCTGTGGCTTTCAACTCGACATTTCAATATATCGACGACGTATTATCAATTAACAATAGTTACTTTCATTCTTATGTCGACTCAATATATCCCAGTGAGCTTGAAATAAAAGATACCACAGATTCCGATCCGTTTCATATTTAGATATTTTACTAGAAAAAGTCGTTAATGGAAACCTAACAACAAAGCTTTATGATAAACGTGATGACTTCAACTTTTCAATCGTCAACTTCCCTTACTTATGTAGCAATAAACCCTTGTCACCTGCATATGGGGTTTATGTCTCTCAGTTGATTCGATACGCAAGAGCATGCTCTACGTATGAACAATTTCTAAAATGAGGCAAGCTATTGACAAACAAGTTGATGAAACAAGGGTATGAACAATCTCATTTGAAGTCATCTTTTCGCAAGTTTTACGGTCGATAAAATGACCTTGTCAGCACATACAACCTATCATTAAGTCAAATGCTGACTGACGTTTTTCATACCAATTGTTAGGCCATTATTTATATACTGAACTGTCTACGGATTTCTCCGTTATTACCCGATCATGACAAGGAGCATACGGCGGGTGTGACCGGTCGGCAGGGGATGCTCACTCCTCCATGGCACCTGATCCCACCTCTAAATTTTGAGGTCCGTGTTGCTCTGCTTCAAATTTGTATCGTTTCATTGGTCTTTCGAGATTGAATGCTGTTCGTTGTCTTCATATTTCATATAAAGAACTCATACAATAATAGTAAGATTATTCTCAATAGCGATCATTGTTTTTTCATTATGAACAGATGCTGAACATCAATGTAAGTATTCAAATGTTTGAGCGTGGCGAACTCTCAAGACCAAACAGCTTCTAGGTCATTGCGTGTCACAACATAGCAATACGACAGGCCGTTCGTGTAATAAATGCAATTCTATTCAGAATATTCATTTCAAATGTAAATAAAAGTAATAAACAACAATGTTAAAAAGTTCACTGGGAAATGAACTTGGTTGGTATGTGATCAAGTCTTCTGTGAAGCCCTTTGGGCTTCACAGGATTTGATCACGTGACCAACCAAGTCCACTTACCAGAGAACTTTTTAACATTGTTGTTTATTTCTTAAAAAATTGACCAGTAAAACTAAACATAGGTTATCAAAGATTACGAAGCTCACCTCGACGAATGTTATCTTTATGTAAGGCAAATTTCACATCATCTTTTTTTAGTTAGTGTACATCCCAAGATCAATATCCATGCAAGTTTGGTTTAAGTATGACTTATAGTTACTTGGAAATAGACCTGTTCAAAAAATGTTTATCCTGTTTTTTAATCAAGAAAATTTTGGTCAGTTCCAACATCCAAAGTAATTCTGGAAGTTTTCATCCTTATATGCACCATCTATGCAAGTTTAATCATAACAGGCCATAATATTATATAGCTACTCCAAAAAAATTACCCTGGTCATTCATCTGGAAAATGTAGGTCAGATTCAGAATCCAAAGCAAGTCTGGAATGAATATCCCTAGCTATATCATCCATGCAAATTTGGTTAAAATATTCACTCATGTGGAAAATCTAGGTCGATTCCAGCATCTGAAGCAGGTTGGTTAGCGTACATCCCAAGATGCATCATCCATGCAAGTTTGGTCAAGGTAGAGCTAATAGTCACTTGGGAATGGACCTGCTCCAAAAACTTTAACCTGGTCTCTCATCTGGAAAATGTAGGTCAGATCCAGCATCCGAAGCAAGTGTGGTAGTGTCCATCCCTAGATGCATCATCCATGCAAGTTTGGTCCAGGGAGGGCTTATAGTTACTTGGGATAGACCTGCTCCAAGAACTTTAACCTGGTCACTCATCTGGAAAATGTAGGTCAGATGCAGCATCTGTAGCAAGTGGGTAGCGTCCATCCCTAGATGCATTATCCATGCAAGTTTGGTCCAGGTAGGGCTTATAGTTACTTGGGTACGGACCTAGTCCAAAAACTTTAACCTGGTCACTCATCTGGAAAATGTAGGTCAGATGCAGCATCTGTAGCAAATGTGGTAGTGTCCATCCCTACATACATCATCCATGCAAGTTTGGTCCAGGTAGGGCTTATATAACTTGGGTATGGACCTGCTCCAAAAACTTTAACCTGGTCACTCATCTGGAAAATCTAGGTCAGATCCAGCATCCGAAGCAAGTGTGGTAATGTCCATCCCTAGATGCATCATCCATGCAAGTTTGGTCCAAGTAGGGCTAATAATTACTTGGGAATGGACCTGCTCCAAAAACTTTAACCTGGTCACTCATCTGGAAATTCTAGATCAGATCCAGCATCCGAACCAAGTGTGGTAGTGTCCATCCCTAGATGCATCATCCATGCAAGTTTGGTCCAGGTAGGGCTAATAGTTACTTGGGAATGGACTTGCTCCTAAAACTTTAACCAGGACGCTGACGCTAACGCCAATGCCGGTGGTATAGCATAAGCTTATCTTGACTTCGTCGAGGTGACCAAAAAACTAATTGATTGCTTGCTTTGTTTTACTGTATTACTAAACCTTTTGTTGTAGAAATATTATCTGTAAATTTTTTTGTATTTCTAGGAAGAAAAAAAGAGAGGAAAAAACACAGATTTTGGCAAGTATGGGTCTCATTCGTTGTCATGGCAACCACAACATCATTTTACTCTGCATTATTAAATACTTTCAGATTTTACCTTTAAGAAAATATATAGGTTGCTTTTATGTAAAAGTGACTAGAAAATGTCTGAATTTCTATGTGAAATTTTTAGTCAGATTTGCAGTAAAAATGCAAATTCTCTGGTTGTTAAAGGGTTAAAGATGCATGATTATTTGCTCAATTTTCTTTATTCTTGACTTCTCAGAATTTTTCAGAGGAAATTCCTAAGCCCAGATGATTGCAACATTGCTTCAAAGACTCAGGAAACATCTCTGTATGATCTGCTAGTAATCTTTAATCAAAAGGTATTATTGGTGTGTCAAATTGCCATCATCGATTAGCGTACAGGTGTCTTTCATTCCAGAACCAGCAGGAATGGATCTCTGTATGAAAAGGTCATCCATGCACATCCTTGAATTTTACCAAAAGTGCACACAGCGGGAGGTGGCGGACAATAGTTTGATTTGTTCAGGAATGTATTATATCACAAGTTGTTTTTAATATAGCGTGTTTATATGAGGCGCCATTTTGGTATTTACTGCCAAAAAGTGATATCACCTATTCGAATAAGTGATATCACCTATTCGAATAGGTGATATCACCTATTCGAATAGGTGATATCACCTATTCGAATAGGTGATATCACTCATTCAAATTGAATAAGTGATATCACCTATTCGAATAGGTGATATCACCTATTCGAATAGGTGATATCACTTATTCGAATAGGTGATATCACTTATTTGAATAGGTGATATCACCTATTCAAAATGAATTGGTGATATCACCTATTCGAATAGGTGATATCACCTATTCCTGCTGAATAGGTGATATCACCTATTCAATAAGTGATATCACCTATTCGAATAAGTGATATCACCTATTCAATTTGAATGAGTGATATCACCTATTCGAATAGGTGATATCACCTATTCGCATTTCTTACAACAACAAATAATGAATGCTCCCTTCCTCAAGATTATCTAGATTTTCAGTGGAACCAAGCAAATTCGGGCTGTGTTAGGGTCTGTAAGTCTCGTCACGTGACTCGCGAGATTTTTCGATAATATTAACTTCCAGGTACCTCACACATGGAGATGTGTATTGGGTTATGCATGTTTATGGTTTACACAAAGCGTATAAGGAAAGTTAAAGCAGTTGTACAAAGCCGGAGGGTTCTCCGACTTAAATTGAAGGTTGTAAAAGCTTGGGTGCGAGCAAGTAGGAGGAGAATTTCGATCGAAGTACAGGTAAACAAGTCAGAGAATGTCACCTGCTTCTTGGGTATTCTTGGGTGAAATAGAAGTCTTATATTATACATTTGTATCTGATTAGAATAGTTTTGTTATCATCATTCCAACTAATTTATTAACAGATTTTTCTTGAATTCGAGGATAATGATGTTATTACCAGCTGATTAAGGAGGAGTAGTGTAAGTGTCAGATGGGTACGAACGTCATCTTGTGACAGCATCACCTTTGTTTGGGTAAATAATTTGTTCAGAATACGCTTCATTTATCAACAAAAATTTAGCTGTTGCATGTCAGTAGGTCTAGTTTTTTAAGTATTCAATGTTTGAAAGCACTTATCAGGTCCAGTACAATCTTTTGATTTAGCTATATATATAGCTTTATTAAGCTGTTCAGAATAGCTTAATTTAGCTATTTTATCACACTTTTTCTTAAATGTATACTTTTCTCAGCATGCACAAAAAGTCGCACCTTGGTGCAGTGATGATACTCAACCTTGAACTCATCTGAAATTGATGCATTTAAAACTCACTCATTAAAATCTCCTTGCATACATGTGATAATTTTTAGGCCCAAATACTGTACAGCAGTCCTCAAAATACAGGAATTTGGGTGAAAATACTGTACACTGTTCATCAAAAAACTAAACAAAAACCTGTAAAAAAAATATTGACCAAAAGTCAATTTAAGAGATTCATTTTTTAAGCTCTTCTGAGCCAAAGGTCCAAAGAGCTAATGCTATGGCCATTTGTGCGGTGTGCGTAAACTTTTTAGAATATGGGCCATAACTCAAGAACCCTTTGGCCAATTATTGTCAAATTTGTCACAGGGTATCCTTGGGCCAAGGGCTTCCGTTTATACTAAAACTAGGGTTGTGACCCTTAAACAAGGGGAGATAATTAGGAAAATAGAAACAAAAGAGACTTTGTACTCAAAGTTCTAAAAGTTTTTGGGCTACATATGCAATTGATACAGTTACTTCTTCAATGAATTTATAAAGGAGGCCAATTATGGTCAACAAGATAATTGATTAATTCTGTACATTCAATGAGAAGCAATCATACTTATCCATGCCTCAATGCACACAAGGTAGTGGACAGTTACTCAAATAATAGAAATTTATCTTTTGCTTAAAAGTAATCAAAAGTTGCAAAGTTGGAGCTATCTTTGATTTTGCTTGTTGTTTCGATAGCCCATAGCACATATATGAATAGTCAAATACATGCAACTTTTTGTCTATTTCTTACCAAAATAATTTTGGTGAAAAACTGCATATAAATAGCTAAATCAAGCTATTTTGAATAGCTTAATAAAGCTAAATAGCTATTTCAAGCTATATAGCTAAATTAAGAGATTGTACTAGACCTGCTTATTTCCCAATCCCAATGATAAAACTTTCTTTATATATTCTGCAAATTCTCTCTGCATTTATCATTGAACAAAATTCATATGACTGCAATTATATGACCATATTCTTCAGTTTAGAGAGCATGTTATAGAGGATATTTTGGTTAAAGTTTTGGTCTGTTTCATGCAGTGTTTGAAATATTCTTTCATCTTACACAATTGTATACATTAAGATTTATTTTATAGCTAAAGTACAAGAGAACTGCAGCATCTAAGACTACATGTACATCGACTTTGAATAATCTACCCGGTATATCCTCAAAAAGGCAACTCAAATACAGGTATGAAATTACATGATGTCACAAAATAAGTTTTTGGACTTACATTTACTCTTATAATTCATATACATATAAAGCATATAAAAAATAAAAATAGAAAAGAATTAAAGGTTCATCAGGTGACAGCTCAATCATGTATGGAATATTATTAGGCCAAATAAAAAAATATGTGTGGTTCCCATTACCTGACCGTCCCTATTTTAGATCCCCGACCCTAAACTTTTTTTCGGCAATATTCAAATTTATTTTCCAGAATTTTCCGCGATTTCCGTCATCCACTTCGGTATTAGTTTTAGTTCCAGCAATGGCGGCCTCCATGCAAAAATCGTTTCAACACGTAGTGCAAGTGTTTGATGGTGTTAAATCTAAAGCAAGCTAGCATGGCGTGGCAGTATACCTTTTTCCAGTGCCATGTTTTTTTGTTTGTTTGTTTTTTGGTTGCCAAAATTAAATAAATATGCCCAAGAGTGGCGAGATTCAGTTAGTTGCTCTGTTTACAGCTGGTTTATAACAAGTGCATGCTGATTAGCCCCTTTATTATTTAATGCACGCAAAGGTGTGAAGTCAGGATAGGAAATCACTTCTCGCTTGAAAGCACACAGACAGCTGGCCAGGTAACGTTTTTTGGAGTTAGGGGGAAGATAACATGAGAAAACATTTATTTGATTGCATTGATTACGCAAGAATTAGCCCAATGTGTAAGATAGATTAACTTGTAAACTATAAAATAATTTATATCAGGATCATTTCTTTTAAACCGAAAGTAGAAAAAAAAAACAGTTCATGAGGAAAAGTGAAAAAGAAGACTGCTGATTTTACATGAATAAAGTCAACTTCCAAAACACCAATATATATGAGAAATGAGCTTGGAAGTATGAAGTCTTCAATGAGGCAAAAAGGTTTCATGAAAGGATTTAAAATTTTAATAATATTAAATATTTGTAATTCTGACAAATTTGAATGATTCTGTGTCATCTTGCTTAGGTGATTTATTTTGTTTTAAACATTACTGTACAAAGTGTAGGTGTCACATTCTTTTCCTCCGACAGCTCTTAGCAGAACTCTCATGTCCGTTTTCTAGTTTATAGTTCAGAATTTATTATTAAGTAAAATAAGAACTGTTCTGGATAAAAGTAATTAATTAATTTCATTTATAAACACTGATTTTAAAAAAAGGATGTTCACTTTGGACTTTATTTTTTACAAAAAGAAAAGATTGCGTTTTCATTATTTTTGATTTCAAAATATTTGTTTCATATTCATAACTAGGGTGCCCCCTGCCAATGTTGACTAGTATATTTAACGCCACATCGAAATGCCACTTATTTTCTCCTTCACTCTGTTCATCCACAAATAAAACATTTCTTTTCTGAACCATAGTTGGAAAAGACTGAATTCGAAATAAACAAAACATTTATTAGTTATGAGTTATATACTCAGCTCTTCACAAAATATTTCTGTTTTTTCGCATTCTATAATGTACAATTTTAGATTTTATATACCTGTATAAAGACTTCCGATAGAGAAATCATGATCTATATTTAAGATTTAATGTATAATGCTTAAGATATCCATTAATTTTACTTATAATATACAATTCTGAAATTAATATCATCCTTTAAAAACAAGGATAGCACATATCATCTTCGTAAACACATAACATTCTAAAAAAAGAAAATATAATATCCAAATAACAGTTAAATAATTCAATTTGCTCATGCTTATTTTCTTCAAACATTGTATTTTCTAGATGAGTATGAACTCGAATGAATAGAATCGGCAGACAACTGTTTAAATACCCAAGACATTTTATTCACACATTAAAGCACATATCTAATCCATATGCTTAAGAGAAAACATATCTAACACTCTACACATAAAATAGTTCACTTATGCTAACGAAAAGAAATAGGTATTATTTAGAAAAATTTAGAAAATCATTTTGTACAAAAAAAAAAAAAAAAAAAATCCCTACCTACCCTATTTTTTTGGAGGTGTAACCGGAACCACACATATTTTTTTGTTTGGCCTTAATGCTGAGTTTCCAAATGCAAAATTAAGGGTATTTGATATATTCCATACAAGTTGTCAATCATTTATTAGTGATTTATACAGAGGTTCATTTGCATATAAATGTTGATAACATTGTTTTACTGTCTTTATTAACTTGTAATACTAAATTTTATAAATTGACAAATTCATTCTTTTTAGAAAGTGCATATAATTTGGAAAAGAGACCATCAATCCACTGGGGGGTATCGCATGAAAGCAATGATTATAGAATATTGTAAGGCTGGAGGAGTTATAGTACAACAGGCAGGCAAGTAATGGTACTTTGTTCTGGAAATTTTTCACCCCAGTTTTATTTTTCTCATTCTGCCCTCCTTACAAGTAGGTGAATTTAAAACGGGACAAATTCGAAGAAGGCAGCATATATCTTTTAAACACAAATGTGTGTGATCAAATTTGAAAAGGGCAAAATTGTTTTCAAGGGTGAAAGAGGGAATATTTTAAAAATTAGAATGGGGTGAAAATATCCAACAATACAGGTTATATGTATTAACACAGTACATATGCATTTCTCTTTTCTTTATAATGAAAATAATTTGTTCTGTAAAAGGACAAATTTTGTTCTGATTTGTATCAAATAAATAAATATGTGCCAGATTTATTATTTTGCAGGCACCTAAGTTACCATCAGTTGTGTGTCAAGCTGTGCAAAAATTCTATGTCATGTTACAGAATCTTTCTTAAATACAGGTATATGTCTGCTCATCTGGCAATCTTAGGACATCACTGGATGGTTTTGTTTAAAAAGATTACAGAGTTAACAAACACTTCCAGCATGAAGACCAGCTAGTTGCCTCACCTGTCCTGACATTGTTAAAGGTAAATGGCCCTTTCAGAAAAGGATCTGACAATGCAAAGGCTTGCTAATCAATTAAAGATTTCTATTTACTAATAGGTAATTAATTTGAATTTCTGTAGCTTAAAAATTTAATGATATGAATTAAAAAAAATATTTTAATCAAAATTATTTTTATTTCAGTACTTTGTGACAGTGAAAAGACATGGCTTTAAATTACTGTATCAGAGATCAATCCAGGTTATAAATCTGAGGAAAACAATAAAGCATCCACTTCGAGCTACTTATACCACTGCCTTAATAAGATGTCTGCATGTGTAACTAACAAAGGACAGTGACCAGTTGTAGCTATGATATCAGAGGGCATCCTGAAAAACACTCATCACTAAGAATAGAAAACTTCAAATGACTTTTGTATCAATCCTTTTGAATTTCATCTGGCTTGGAATTTCAGTAGCCTTTAGCATCCTTCAAGCATTTCATGAAGTACATGTACCAATTTGCAGGCATAAAATGTTTGAAACAGATTGCTTGTCCCAAATAAAAAAAAAATAATTTCTCTGCCAATTAACAGTGTCATAAGCAGTTGATTGATATCACAGTTCCACTGGCATAGTATTTGTGGTTGATTGGTGCCATTTTTAAGAAAACTTTTCACAAAAACCTGGAAAACATCAGATGGAAAGGAGCATCTACAAGAAAAACAGTTAACACTTTCTTGAATATTAACAATGATATATCATGCCCATTTACATCCTTTATATAAACTAATTAACCTAATCATAGAGAATTATGTACAAATTTGTCCTTTTGTGTATTTATAGTGTATTAAATTGATTTTACTAATTTATAAATATTTATGTTTTTCACAGTCATTAACATTTACAAATAGAAGTACATATAAGATAAAAATATCACATGTTTAGTAGGATAACGTGAAATTGTTATACCACAAAAACCATCGCTGACCTCGCCTCGGTCAGCAATGGTTTTTAAGGAGTAAGAATTTTACATCACCCAAAATAAACAGGTAATATTTTTCTTGTCATAAAATGCATTTTAAAGAAAACATCAAGGTGAAACAAATGTGCAAACATTCTGCACAGTTAACATTTTTTATTACTGTATATACTGTTACCCGTAGTCATGCATTTTCAACCATTTGGGATGTAATATTTGGCATACAGTATGGTAATAGTACTTGTTAACAAATGTTTTTTAAACCAATCAAATTTGACTATTTAACATGAAAGTGTATCATAACAAATTTATCTAGCATAATGGTGCTGTAAGTAACCATGGAATGTGAGCTTGTGTGAACTTGATCCTGAATTATTAAGTTTTGATATTGTAAAAAAGAATTGTGCAGCCTAAACTTTAACTTGTACCTGATTTAAATGGAGTTCCGTCATTAACAACTTGGAAGTTGGAAGTTGTCACACTCTTCACTGGGGGATCTGCTTCATTTGCAGATACATGGATAACACATTCACTCAAAGCACTGTCCCTTTTTCAGTACCTTGTGCAGCCCTGTAATATATAATGACAAATGGAGAAAAATGCCTATTTCAAGAAAAAAAGTCTGTCTCATAATTGTAGGAGTATTGGCAAGGGGGGGGGGGGTCATGAAACTTGGCGGTTAATACAGTTTGTATGTGTAAATGAAAAAATGCCTTCTTCTTTGTAGAATAAAAAATGATTATTTTTTTAGTGTGTGTGACCATTTTTATTTCCGAATAGACAGGGCAGCTTATAGCCTACAGAATGAGCTGACCATTTTTATTTATTGTAGTAATTAAAAAAAAAGAATGTGTTTTCTACAAAGATCATATGTTATAGACGTGGTATTCAACTTTGTATTCCCATGGTCGATGCATTTGGGTACATCTATTTTTTTATTTGCTTTCAATGACATCGCATTCAATATCCCAAACTCATGTATACCTGTCCAATACTCCAAATTATACCACTGTAAGCTAAGTCAATGCTTTAAATTTATGAAACCAATCTGTAGATAAGCGTACCTTTTGAATACAGACGATTTTAGCATTAAAACGATTTAATTTTCCCTTTTTGCTTAAGTATGTTGGCTAATCTTGGCCTCCTCGGAATAGCTTGTGTTTACGTTATGTAATGAAAAAATAAAGCAATTAAACGCTATTTACCTGCATCTATCAATCCACTTTCTCCTCTTCTTTGCAACAATCGGGGATCAAAACAAACTACAAGTTTAATAATTCCACTGCGATGCTTACAACTTAAGTAATCCATTGTCTCCAAGAACGCTCAGGTAACCAGGAGTTATAAAACGAAAGTGAAAGTCAACGAGACTTACAGACCCTTTGAATTTTCCTATAGTATACATGATAGATAAGTGTAATAAATATAATTTGTGAGCAAAACAAACAACAAATTCTACTGGGGTGCTTAAAACTAAATGCGAAGCTGTAATCCATTGTCTGCAAGAATGGTAAGTTATAAAACGAAAGTGAAAGTAAATGAGAATTAAAGCTATAGTCTTGGGAGCAGTTGTTATTTCATAAATAATTTGAATAGGTGATATCACCTATTCGAATAAGTGATATCACCTATTCAAAATGATTAAGTGATATCACCTATTCGAATAAGTGATATCACCTATTCGAATAAGTGATATCACCTATTCAAAAGGAATAAGTGATATCACCTATTTGAATGGGTGATATCACCTATTCGAATAGGTGATATCACCTATTCGAATAAGTGATATCACCTATTCGAATAGGTGATATCACCAATTCAAATCGAATAGGTGATATCACCTATTCGAATAGGTGATATCACTTATTCGAATAGCTGATATCACCTATTCGAATAGGTGATATCACCTATTCAGAAGCTGAATAGGTGATATCACTTATTCGAATAGGTGATATCACCAATTGAATAGGTGATATCACCTATTTGAATAGGTGATATCACTTTTTGGCAGTAAATACCAAAACGGCGCCTCATATGTTTAGGCCAATATGCCTTTGTTTTAAACTTTCAAAATAAAAAAATGCTAGGTAGAGGATTGACATATTCTAAAAATACTGTTTAAAAACACAAACACTATCAAAAATATGCATTCCCCTTTTTTTACATTCTTTATACATATACTACACACATACACAATTGATAATATGCAACCCCCCAATTTTTTACATTTTCTATACATGCGTGGAATTTTTTGAAATCGGGGATGTTCATGCAGTACTTAGGAGTGTGTCTCCGTCAAATTATCAATAATACATTGTGCACGTTGAAAGTCTAGCAGAATTTATAAAAAAAGAATTGAGATTACTAACCCTGTTACATTGATAATAACTTTCAAGCATCCAAGCCACATTGAGCTGTTCTCCGATGAATATTAATGAAATAAGCGTAATGAGGATGCATTGCATATTATGTAAATGTTGTATTCTCACTCATGCAGTTTTCATTTTTACGTTTGTGTAATTTTCTCATTATATCATGTAAATATTTTGTTCATTGTGCAGTTTTACTTTAGTTTGTGTAAATTTCGATAGGTTAGTGTGTATTTTGCACACTTTGTGAAAGTTTTTATTTACTCGTGTAATTTTCGTTTAAGGTCGTGCAGAAAATACTTTTGACGAGATTGGTGTGCCATAGATATTCTATTAAGTGAAATTGTCTTTGACAAGGATGACAAAAGTTAGTATTCATATCTTTAATCTATAAGTTTAACTGCTGTAGTTCCTTTATAGAACTTTTTTGAGAATTAGGTTTGAAGTTCTCATATCACCTCTGTTTCATGTACTCACATTTAAAGCATAGGTCACTGACAGTCCAACTATTCCACCACTTAGTGTGTCCCTTTCTAAAACTGCAAACAAACAAGCGAAAAAGACAACACAGTTGCCTACAAACTCCAAACGAACTGCTAACCACCTATAAATGCAGAAAAAGGGGTATAATATTAATATGATTTTATCTATTCGAGCGTCAGGTTTTTTTTTTTATTTCTTGGATTACAGATTCACTTATCCTAACTTCAGGTGAGTCAGAAAAAATAACATAGGTAATAACTTTTCAATTAATGGTCACAGTGACCTTCCTTTAAACCCGACACACTTTCCACCCAAGATGCATCAGCTGGCAAAATTTCATGATTCTTGTTTTAACACATCACTGCTGTACCATAATACTTCCCTTTACAACAGGCATATAAAAATTTGATGCATACCAAACAAATAGCCAGCACTAGCTCTTTGAGCCATCAGCTCAATAGAGCAAAAAGTGCTTTAAAAGTTTACTATGAAAACTAAAAAAAATTGATAAGTTAAAAAATTCTTCTTATGTCTTTGGCATTTTGGCCCAGAGGATGTATTTTTGAATAAAATCTGCACTGCTTTAAACAGAAACTTCTTTATCAATTTTGGTCCATTTTTCAGAGGAATTCACTTTCTTTCTTTCAAATTATTGTTTTTGAAAGGATAAAAATGTTGCGGGAAAAGATCAGAAAGAATACACCATGAACACAGATAGCAATTTACCACCTGAGTGACTCAGGTGCCCAAAATATTCTCCTGACAGAGAAATGCACAGCTATACCCAAAAGTCTCTGATAAGACTGTAGCTCTACTGGTTTGTACTTATAACAAAGGAAAAGAAAAGTAGCACTTGGACTTGAAACTTTGCAAAAAATATAGTAATGATCCTTGGTTTAGTCTCTTTTTGTCGCAAAATTTATTGCAGACTAAAACTGTAGGAAGAGTAACCTTTTAACAGATTTTTTCCAGAAATTTTGATTTTAGTAACCATGGCAATATCATTCATCAAAATCCAAAAAAACTGATAAAGACAATTATGTATCTCAGTGTAGTCTATTTGCATGTCAAGTTACATTGAAATTAAAGCAAAACTATAGAAGGAGTAGCATTTTGAATGTATTTCACAGAAATTTGTATTTTTAGTAACAATGGCAACACTGTTCACCAAAATCAAAAACCGACACACTGAATAATGTATCTTAGTGTAGTCTACTTGTGTTCCAGGTTATACTGAAATCAAACCAAAACTGTAGGAGAAGCATTTTAAAGGAATTTCACAGAAATTTCTATTTTTAGTAACCATGGCAACATCATTCATCAAAATCAAAAAATTGATGCACTGTTATGTATCTTAGTGTAGTCTACTTGTGTGCCAAGTTATATTGAAATCAAACCAAAACTATAGGAGTAGCGTTTTAAAGGAATTTCACAGAAATTTCTATTTTTAGTAACCATGGCAACACTGTTCAACAAAACAAAAAAAACGATACACTAAGTTATGTATCTTAGTGTAGTCTTGTGTGCCAAGTTACAGTACAGGCAACGCAGATCCTATATTTCCCGTGCGCCGTCGCGGTATAAACACAATGCAAGATTTGGCCAGGTGAGACAGGTAAACAGTGTTCCCTCTGCGGGAAATTCATCACCTACCTGTTCCCGCCACTTAAATCATCGATCAAGTATCGTAAACAAATGGGAGTTATCTCCCCGAATGAGAATTTGCGAAATTTTCCTGTAGTAACTAAAAATAACCACAGTGTATGTTTATTTATGAAAGTATTTTCTTTTATTTTGCAACGATGAATAGAAAATAATAGATATACTCCAAAAAAGAATTTGTAAAGTTTTTTTTTATTTATGTTTTTAAAACTATATACATGTATCAATACTAAGGCGACATCTTTTGTTTAAATAGAATCAAGAAAAATATTTATAAGCTGTGCAGGCATGGATACAGGATATTTTTCCGGGGGGGGGGGGGTCCATCCAGTCAAAAAAAATTTCCAACCCAGAAATTTCTTGACAAGGAAAAAAAAAATTCTCAAACGTTAGAAGACCTATTTAGTGGTGGTGGTGGTGGGGTGGTGGTGGTGGGGTCCAAGTTTTCTGAGGGGGGGGGGGCAAATTCATTTTTTTTTTATTTGCTTCAGTATAAACTTTTAAAAACTCTGCAAATTCCAAGGGGGGTCTGGACACCTTCCCCCCCCCCCCCCCCCCATCTTGATCCGCACATGCTGTGTCATTTGAGAGTCTAGCATGAAACAAAATTAAATATTAAATTATATGTGAACTAGTCAGTGGGAGTTCCGATTAACAATTTTCAACATTCCCATGAAAAAAAAGGTACATCTTTATTAAGGTCTTCCGTCCCAATGGAAGACCTTCTACTGATTCTGATGGTTAAGATTATTAAGGTCTTCCGCTCCAGTGGGAGACCTTCTACTGATTCTGATGGTTAAGATTATTCTTATTAAGGTCTTCCGTCTCAATGGAAGACCTTCTAATTATTCTGTTGTTTCTTTTCAACTTTTTTTAAGGTCTTACGTCTTCACGGAAGACCTTATAGTGATTCTACTGTTTCTTATTATTATTATTCTTATTATTTAGACAAATTTTGTGCATGCAGTATCGAGAACTATTCAGTGGTTTTTTCATCAAACTTTCAGGAAAAATGTGCTATAAAATGCCATTGTTACATTTGATAGCGTTTTGGAGAAATTCGCTCCCGGTTCCAAGTTATGGACATTTTTCTGATTTTAAAATGAAATTTTATCGCGCGAGATCTAAAGAATGGCTAAAGAAATGAACTGGAGACTTGTTGGAGAGCATAGAACATGACTTCTAGATGTGCGGGTTTGCCTTTTTGTGCGTCGTGATTACTTCCGGTCGCTACTGGAAGTAAATTTAAAAAGTCATTTTTTCAACTTTTACGTTTTTCAATATTTTTCTTTGAATTTAGTAGGGGTAATAGAGACTCTTATTGCTATGCTTAATATATAACTGTTTTTTAAATTGTCCATCAGAAGACATTTAAAAAATAGACTTTTTAGACAATTTTTGTGCACGCAATATCTCAAGAACTATTTGATGGTTTTTCATCAAACTTTCAGGGATCATTTGCTATAAAATGCCATTGTTACATTTGAAAGAATTTTGGAGAAATTCTCTTCCGGTTCCAAATTACAAACATTTTTCTGATTTTTAAATGAAATTTTATCTGCGCAGAATCTAAAGAACAGCTACAGATATGCACTGGAGAATTTTTTGAGAGCAGAGAACATGACTTTTAGATGTGAGGGTTTGCCTTTTTGTGCATCGTGAATACTTCTGGTCGCTACCGGAAGCAAATTAAAAAAGTCAAATTTTTCAAATTTTATGTTTTTTAATATTTTTCTATGATATTAGTAGGGTAATATTCCTTTATAGATGCAAGTTACTGAACATAATACTGAACACATTACTGAACATAATACTGAACACATTCTTCTGCTAACCGTTATTTTTAAAACTCAAGTAACAAATTCCAATGTAAATCTACTAGTACTTGTACAAAAGGGGGAGTTTCGATAAGGCTGCTCAGTGGCCCACTTTTTCTCAAAAAAATAAATTTCAATTTATTTTATCAAAATTAGTTTAGAATTCAAGAAAAATATGTTAACTTTTGTTATTTATTATATTTCAAAAGTTAATATGAGATGAATTCACACCATAGCTAATACATACTTAGATGCACCCTCAGATGTGTTAACATTAGGCTTATGGAAAATATAAGAGGGTGGCATATATAAATCGATATTTGAAATGTGAAGTGCATGAGGGACACTCACCTAATATGGCTCAGTAATTAGATACACTTTGCACTCTAATATCTTGAAATATGATGAGTGTCATGTGTGCACTTCATATCCAAAAATTGAAAATTGCATAGAATTTGCATATCTAAAATTAGAAGCTGCTGGTTCTTGATCTGACTCTGTGTTAAAATATTAAGCCAAAAGTAGCTTTTTTTTTTTAATTAAAGAAAATTCTTGAAAATATTAACAATAGAAAACATCATCGTACCCTATCTTCTTTTCTATACCTTTTTTGTTGCCAGCGTATTACGTTAACGTCACAATTTTAGCTCATCTCCACGAAGATAGGGAGCTTTTGTTACACCGTCGGCATCGGTGCTCCAGGTAGAAGTTTTTGAAGCAGATTTTTTTTTCAAGTATATCTATGCCCTATATTAATCAGAGTCACCTGATCTAGTGTGTTTCCTTGTTACCAATCAAGTTTCAGATGCTGCATTTTCAGCTAATTATGTCCAAGTAAATGTTTTTAAAGCAGGTTTTTGGAGCAGAGCAGCTACAAACACAAACATGCTGACCAGACTTGCTTTATGATGCATCTTCGGATGTACACTACCAGACTTGATTCAGATGCTGGAACTGACCTACATTTCCTTCATGAGTGAGCAGGTTAAAGATTTTGAAGCGGGTCTCATTCTTATGTAATTATAAGCCCTATCGTGTCTAAACTTGCACTGATCATGCATCTATGATTGCACACTACCAGACATAGTTCAGATGATCGATCTTTCTTACATTTTCTGCCGCTGAAATATGGCTGAAATATCACCGACTCTGCGTTGAACAATAATAATCAATCAATTATCTTACATTCTCTGACTGGGTGAACAAAAAAAAGTTTTGGAGCAAGTCCATGCCTTAATGTTGTTTATCATGCATAGTTATTTTAGACTTAAAATATTGTAAAAAGAAATCCACGCTCGAAAATGTTAGAGAAGCGCCCATATATCTTCGTGTGGTTGATGTAGGGAACGTGGATTGTTTTAAGTCTGGATGTCGAGGCAGGATAAAGAATTAAAACATATCTTTGGTGTTTACACGTTTTTTGAACTGTGGCTCTACTCTAGTAAATCATATATAATGAATTCTAAAACTCTCTTACATGTAAATGAGAAATGACAAGAGTTGGTCAGGCAACTTAATAATCTATGGAGAATTGGGAAGCGAGAGAAAATAGGTCCTGACTGGGATTCTCTCATTTATGCTGAAAACATAACGTACATCTATGTGGGCAAATACTTCTTACTTTCATAATGAAAAGGAAACA